TTCAAGAACTCACGGTGTAAGAAAGAGTCGTACCACACCGTACCACCCTGAGGGCAATGGTCAATGTGAAAGATTTAACCGTACTCTCTAAGACCGTTTGTGCACAATACTGACAGCTAAGAAACAAAACGAAATGGCCTAAGTACTTACCTGAGCTTACATATGCTTACAATATTACTCCCCATTCTTCTACTGGCTATTCACCACATTATCTTTTCTTTGGGAGAGAACCAGCTCTACCTATAGACAATCTACTTGGGAATGTGACTGGAGAAGATAATGAAAACCAGATGGAGGAGTGGGTTGCAGAACACCAGAAAAGGCTGTCTGAGGCTTTCGCTGCTGCATCAGCGAACACAGAGAGAGAGGCTTTGAGACGAATAGCCAGAAATGATTCCAAGGCTGATATAACTGATTTATCTATTGGTGACTATGTATTCTTCAGAAACAGAACTGTCAAAGGTTGCAATAAAATCCAGGACAAATGGGATTCTGAACTGTTTCATGTAGATGCTAGGTTGGATACAGAAGGTCACACCTATGTTGTTCAGCCTGTAGATAAGGGGCAACCACCGAGAACTGTCCATAGGGGTGAGCTGTTACATGCTAAGCATGTAGTGAAGGACATGAATGTCAAAGAGGTTATAGAATCACAAGCAGAACTGTCTGATAGTGAAAAATCGCCCCTTTCTTCAAGTTTAACTGAAAGAGATGTGGGTCCTCCCACTAACCAAGAAGAAGTTAGGCCAACTTCCACTGAATCAGATCATATCAAAGTTTTGACTGCACCTGCTGCCAATGATCAATCTGTAAAAAATAATGAACCTGCGCCACCAAGACGTTCAACCAGAACCATTGCAGGGTCACATTCAAATCCATTTCATTTACCATTTACAAGTCTGTAGTTAGTGAATCTACTATGTCACATAATATTGATCCACATGCCATGGCTAATTTGGTACAATCACTGTTACTTATGATGGTATATCCAGCCGTATATCCATGTGTTTGAAATGTTTTAGATTATAATGTAGTTGTATGAACAACAACAACAACAACAACAACAACAAAAGAAAAAAGGAAACACGGCTTCAAAATAAAATAAAACAAATGTTCGTATCGAAGATGCAGCGGGTATGCTCGTAGTTAAAATACTTCTGTTACTAGCAACGCCAATCAGGTAGGAACCAGTACCGTTTGTCGTAGTCACATTGCTAGGAGGGTATGGTGACTACTGTATATCTAGTCAGGTTTTGAAGTGGTTCTCCCAATGACGTCTCTTAGCAACACTTGTGTTTTGGCAACAGCAGTTTTTGATAGTACCAACAACGAATTTTGTAACGTCATACTAGAACGGAATATATTGTACAAGTATTGTACGGCCAGGGTTTACGAGATAAGTGGCACGATTTCAGAATCGCGACAACAGTCTCATTGACAACACGATTTGTAAACAAACTTACCAAGTATTTGTGACTGATTCAATTCACTTGGGGCAACAAAAGCACCCCTTCTTCTTTGTTTATTTATAAGTTTCAATGGCAGTTGAATCAAACCAGCCATTCAATGAACGCAGCGCACAACGACGTCATTTGAAAACGTTTCAATCGTCCAATAGAAACCTCTCGTTTCAGTTTGAATTGTGAAAATATAAATGTTTATAAAGATGGCGTAGCGTGTTCGTTTCGTCAAGAGTAATAAAATACCGTTTGTTTATCTAAGGTACGAAGGATTTCCAGTCACATTACAATTTGAAAAAGTTCTAATTTGTAAGATCTATGATTACACCATGTGAATGAAGAATTAGAATTGGCGACATAACCCACTAAATTTGAATCACACAAAATCACAATTAAATCGTAGGGCGAAGATGGACAACTGGTTTTAAATTATGTTATGAAAAAAAATCGCAAATTTATATATTATACAGACAGGGTATCGATATTGTAAGCTAAAAACTTGTATATCATAAATAAGTTTAAGAATATAAATAAAATACTCTAGATTATATATGGTACACTCTACCAGATTGACTCATCATGTGCGCTCATAATGGTCACACCTGAGGCAGGAAATTCTGGTAATTATACTTCAACTGGTCCAATGAAAATGTCATGGCGACGACGTATCAGAAACGTTATCAATAACATGTGTTATCGTAACATGTCCTCGGTCACACCAGCGTCACATGAGACATGAGTATTTCCAGTTCCGTCATATTTTAGGTGGTAATGCTATTGTGGCATCTAGATAGTAATTTGCGTCACAGAAGAACATTTCGATGAAGTGTTCAACGCGCTTCACATGTAAACAGTTCTTACCAGTCACCATACTCTTAGCACAACAAACATATTCTCTTCATCTTCAAAGTTTATAATTACTTACAAATTTCACACTTGAACGAAAAGTTGCTATTGGTCAACCGAATAACATTGGAACGTCGTTGCGTAATGTACTCGTTGATTGGCTTGTTTGGTCCAACTGTCATTGAAATTTATAAATATTAATAATGATAAAAGGAATGCTGTTGTTGAGCCGAGAGTACACTACCTTGTCTTCATTTGTTGTCATTAAAACACAAAACAAATTGAGTTGAAAGTAAAGTACAAGTAGTTATGTATAATTTGTAACCTAGCTGTTGTTGCGGAGTAAAAGCTTATTATTATAACATTTCACATTGATATATTTTAATTTCGTAAAAAAATGTTTTATTAGGTTATCCAGGGTAACTACTATCATATTTGTTCCGAACAACCCCAGCATGATCCCAACTGAATGGCGACAACCGCGACCCAAGGAAAAATATATGCAGGTATACCCTTTCATTTATACGTGTCGTGGGCTGTCGTTTCGTCCCAAATAAAGCTGTTTCGTAACTGTTCATCGATGGTGATACATATAATTGGTTTGTTTGACGGGCGAAGTGCCCGGTAAAACCACTCTCTCACTTTAATGATATATATTCGCATGTATATATAATCTCAATGTAACGATAATTAATGATAATTATTCAGAACCTGGATACGAAATTTCGAATCGTGAGTTAGTCCGAGCTTGTCTGTTTTAATGGGACGAAACAGATTTGGGACGAAATGACATTGGGGCAAAAACGAAACAGATTTGGGACGAAATGACATTGGGGCAAAAACGACTTATAGACGAAACAGCATTGGTAGAGGTCGAGAAAGCTCCGCGGTATACAAGTGGGTGAAATGACACCGAACCGTCGTGGGCGGCATTCCATTTGTCACCTCCGGCATTCAGCTCTAACCGTAAACGCATGGATGAAGTGTTTTGGTGATAACGTATCACCCAATTTAGGACAAGGTCAAGATAATATAATATGTGTAAGTGTTTACTTGTTGTGATTTGTGTGTAACCAAGGGCGGTTACGGGCAATGTTTATTTGCTTTACAAGCATACAGTCAGTTGAATTGGGTCGATGACGTCAACAATTGTATGTATTCGATTTACGTGACTAACTATACCAGATTTAAATGTATAAAGTTTGAGTTTGAGTAATAAAGTTATTATTGTTATTATTATACAATTTGTTCTTCCTACTATCAGTATTATTAACAAGCCTATATTCCTATTTTATCAATATTGTATTGCACTTAAAACTAAGATCGAAATGTTGAAATAGTCACTTTACTTACTCCAGGATTTTTTCACTACTTTAATACCGTTTAGTCGCAGTCAATATTTCCACCCAACCCATAAAATTGACGAATTTATGGCATCTTCGGGACCAAAATGTCCGAAATACAAACATTCGGTGTACAATTTGTAAATGTTTCTTTCAGTGCTAATATCCAAGAGAATCAGTACCTATCATAATGGTTATGAATTACTTCACGATGTAGTATTGCTTGATGATGTAGTAGTGATGGCAAGAAACCGGTGCACTACCATAAGCTTCCGCGCAGGGTCAGCTAGTAGCATGCAGTGCCTTTAAAATTGTTAAAAAAATGTGTACCTGGTCGCGGATTTACAAGTTTAGATTTAAACATATTTTTTAGATGATATTTTTAACTGGTTAACCAAAACTACGAAAAGTCAGAGTTTGTAGTTGAATAGGTTACATCGTACTACATCGTATTTGCGGACTAATACATATTTATACACGGTGAAGCTTAATGAAGGTCAATTTTCCGACAATGGTTGTCGTTTCTTAGCGGTGGGTGTTGAGCATATTACGGTGTAGATCCATTCTCGGTACCAGGTTTAGTTCTTGATTTTCACATCTCCAGGTAGAAGACTAGTTGGGCTTTTCCATTGAATTCACAAAGGACTCCAGATTTCGACGTGAAAATCGAGAACTCATCGCTGAATGTTTGAGCTGCGGTACTTTGTTACTCAACTCACAGTCCCTCAACTGTAATCGGAAAACGGTTAACCATGAGGTAACAAGAAGCTAACGGTCAGGTTGTTGTAGTGTTTATTTGCCTTGTTGACGCTGTGAGGGGTATTCGGACAAACAACATCAAGGGTGAGAAATTTCACTAGAAACGTGGCCATATTCTGACGTCCAGTCAGCAGGAACTTGATTAATGCATGTACAGAAGGGTGGATCTGTTGAATAGAATAGAAACCGGGGTCGTTTCTAACGCACCCGGATCTTGTAAACGGGCGTTGGCATTACAAACCCATTTTGGATAATTCATTCTTTCATTTCGCTACTGGAATGAGTAATATATAATTTATTTCCAAGATGCGACTCAAAAGATTACACGGTCGCATAGGCGAACAGTGGAGATGGATGAAACGGCTGAATCACCACTATCTCTATCTCGTTATTATGGAAAAGCGTAACTCGAACTCACAACTCGCAAATTGCTTGTTGTCGTGGATCAATCTTCGTTCAACACTTGTATTCTGTGTTTTAACGTTTATGATATGCATTGCAATGTATGGGACTATGTCTGCTACAACTCGTCGCCTCTACACAGACACTATTAATCGAAATATACTACAAAGACATTTGGCTAAAACATCTCTTAAACTTAGAACTTGGGAAAATAATATCACCAGACGAGCAGAGCTGAGGACTCGACTTGATGAGCACATGAAACACACTAGTTTTGTTTGCACCCAAGAAAATACTCCAATTGGTGCACAGTATTTCGACACTTTTCATTCGAAAAAAACAATGGGAATTGATGCTGAGAAACAACGTCTACTTCCAAAAGTGTCTCCATTTTCAAACACCACGTTCAAGACATGTAGCATTGTGGGAAACTCAGGTATTCTCAATAACAGTAAATGTGGACGAGAGATTGACAGTTGGGATTTCGTTATGAGGTCAAACTTGCAGCAAATTCAGCCATTTGTAGAGGACGCTGGCAAAAAAATGAATCTTACGAGCCTGTCACCGAGTCTTATAGTTTCCAGATATAAATTATTCGGAAAAGAATTTGATGTGACAAACCTGTTGGAAGCCATGCAAGAATACGTGGGGTATATGCTTTGGATTCCCAACAGTAAAGGAAATGCTGTCATGACTTTTCCTGTAACTCAACTAGTACAAGAAAACACTGAAATTGAGGTATTGCTCTTAAATTCTGAACATACTGAAAAATTCCAGGAGTTTTGGCAGTTATCTAAAAAAACAATATCAACAGGATTGACTTTGGTCAGTATAGCACTGTCAATGTGTGAAGAATTACACCTGTATGGGTTTTGGCCATTTCCTCTGACTGCGGACGGACAGTCAGTAGAAATGCACTATTCTGGTGACCTGCAATGGTCTTCCTACTTTAGCCATCATGATTATCCTTCAGAGTTTGATCTTTTGACAAAGCTTCACTATCAAGGTATTCTTAAGTTACATGTTGATAAGTGTTACTGATTAGTTTAGCAAATATTAACTTATGATAATGAACAAAAAAGCTCATTGGGTTCAATGTTCCAGGTCTTTGCAATAGGTAGTTTTTACTGTTTACAAATTTGTTATGTGCATATTGCCATGAAATATTGATATGTAATATCAGCTATTATGACAAATGTACTTGCATGAAAAGCCTCTTTCAGCCTTTGCATCATGATGTGGAAAACTTATCTTAGCCTTTGCATCATGAACTGGAAAACTTATCTTAGCTTTTTCACCATGATGGAGAAAGCCTCTTAGCTTTTTCACCATGGCATGGAAAGGCATTTTTATAGCCACGACCAGCATTTCACTTTTGTAGTCTTGCCTCATGTGTGTATGCAAGACTGATAAAATTATTGTTTGAGGAGTGTGTGATAAGTAAATTTGGGTTTTATGTAAACTTAAATGTTGAGATTTTGTAGCTGCTGTTTTGGTCGTCTGGTAATAAACTTCAACATTGAAGTGGTATTTGATGATACCAAAGTGAACTGCCAATGTTTTCGATATAGAAAATTTGTTCTGGAAACCCCAAGTTACTTTAGTCTGAAGATAAGAATAGGAATAGTTATAATACATGGAGGGTTAAAATAGTTTAAATACCAATGGATAGCTATATTGTCCACTTACAATGCATTTTGTATGCACTAGAAAACTGGTTCTATGAAAACAGGAGATGTCTGCACAGTAAGAACTACATTGTTATGAAACTGAAGCCCATTAAGTGATTCTGAAAAGGTCATACTTCCTGGTATTTCATTGCTGTTGTGTAACATTAGACTGAAAAATAGTTGATTTTACTTTTCAAATCTTGTGTGTTTTTCTGTGATTTTTTTTTCAAATCTTTAAAAAAATATATTCACAGCCATAAATGTTGGGTAGGATTGGAACCATAAAATTTGTTTTGTTTGGCTTTATTTGCATCTGATAATTCAATATCCCTGTAATAGAACTTGTAAATATAAGCTAGATAATTTGTGAAACTTGCACACATGACTTGCCTGGGATGCATAGTGGTGAAGATGAGGCTGGTGTAATGTAAATAGGATTCTATACTCCTGCTTAATCAGGCTGCGTCTGCAATTCGTCGTTATGGTACAGTGTCTTCAGTGCACTGCTAAAGCATGTATTTATAATGTTCTTTGTGACTAATAATGTCAAGGACTGTAATTGTCTTTAAATTTTTTCAATATCAGTACCGGTATGTTTACTGGTTTTGAGGTACCGTACCTTTCTTCTTTATAACAGATTATGACATACCGTCTACCAGTATGTCATAATTACCTGAACTCAGGGCTTGTTTTTTATCGAATAGTACTTGTACATGTGTGGTTATTTCTGTAAACTGTTTTATTTTCACCGCATTTCCAAATGCCAATTTTCACTGCTACAAAATTTCACTGACTCACAAAAACTTGTCTCTGGGAAAAACAAAGTGGTTTACAGTATATGGTTTGTGTGATAGAGTACAATAATATGAGATGTTGGACAAATAGTACAAGTTGGTTCATGTGGTTAGTCAATCTAATTTTTTTTACATTCATTGAAAGTCTAAAGAAAATGGCGCACCATGGTGACCATCACCTTTTAAATAAAAGTATACAGATTTATTTTATTTAAACTAAAGTGACAATGTTCATGGACAAAAGATAAATTATCTTGGTGCAAGTGGCATGTAAATTGCAATGATATGAATCTATATGAAGTATGGTAATGATTCCCATTATCAACACTGAGTGAAACATAATCAGTTGCAAATGTCACTTTGCTTACTTATTAATACATTAATGATGGTGTTCCCATTTAGTTAGATAATATGGTGTGGATCATCAATGTGCTATTGTCATGTAAATATTTATAATCTTTTTTATGACTTAGCTTTATTACTAAATAGAACATTAGCTGTTTTCATTTTGAATGTAAACCATACAGTTAACAAAAATATAACAGTGGTAAACTTGAAGAGAGTAAGTGTTCTACAGTTTTATTATGCATTCAGATTTAATGTAAATTAACAATATTGAAATAGACGATGCTGTGATGTGACTAGTACTACTTTAAGTAGGCATGTAAACCAGTATCAAGTTGATGATTGCTGCCCCGAATTGACATAAACTACCTAGAATTCCTGACACTGGTGATATAAAACAAGTTATTTTCTGTAATGGTACTCATTTTTTTGATTGCTACTTTCTGTGGAGACCCACATCAAAAGGAATTTCCTGTTGCTGACATCTTGTAATAATTTCTGTATAAATATGTCTAAAGATGGTTCTCTAGGGTAATTGTTTAATGTCACCGTTGTTCAATACGATTTGTTGGCTGAATTACAAATGTTGTTTTATTCAGTAAAATAGTACTGTCATTGCAAAGAAAGTTTCATTGTACTATTTCAAACACTGATTTTTTTGTCTTCCATGTTTTTTTTATTCTCTGACTGGCTTGATTTGTACTTATTTCTTGTATGCACCATGTAAACATTAATTGAAACAGTTTTTTTTTTTAAAGTAATTTAAAAAGCCAATTTTTTAAATTTGGTAATTTCTTTGGTTAAATACATGTAGTTATTACTTACCTTGAATTCAAAACTAAGTGTTCTTTTCATGTATACTTATGCAAAATGCCAAAATTATCAAATAGAATCTTTCTAGGACTGTACAAATGCTTTAACGCTTGACTGGATTTTTCAGGAATATACTAGTTATAATAATAGAATAGAACAAAATGTGTTTTTTTTTTTTAACAGCAACTTTCAATGCAAATGTTTAATGTAATTACAGTGTTCATCTCTCTCTCTTTCTATCTATCTGCCTACCCACCTAATGCTTGAAGTTTTTTTGTCACTTTTATATCATGTTAATATTATTTATAATGCAGATTTATTTTTTTCATGCAAATTAATTTAAAAGACTAATAATAATGGAATGAAAGGGAATGCCTGATAACACTGAATACATTTCTGAACACAGTTGATATTTGTGGGAATGTTGTGTACAGAATGAAGCCATTACCCTGACTTTGCCATTTATTATTAATTTGTTTGTGTTCTTGAAACAGTGTTTGTTTTATGCTTGTTTTGTTTAACTACAATACCAATCTTTAGTATAATATAATGTACCCAACAACAACAAAATTACTTATTTTTGGTCATTATCTGTTTGCCTGGCAAACAACACGCGCTCTTTCCTTTTCTGCGAATAATTAATAAACTGAAAAAACATGACCAGAAACAAGTTTTTTTTTTTTTTTGGAGGGTATATGATAGTACGTGAAGGCTATAATATTGAATAATGAAGTCATCTATAATGGTCTAAAGCGTTAATGCTGTGGTCCCGTCATTGACTGATATTCAAATACTATTACAGCCTGAACTACTAACACAGTCAGTATGCTACAATACTTTTGACAAAATGAATCATCTTCAATGTTATTCACATATGTCTAGTCATCACAGTGCAACTGTAGATTCAATAAATGTAGTTTTTAATAAATTAACATAAATTTTATTTTGTATTTTTATATTTGCATTGTTGGACACCAAACATATTATTAGTTTTTCTATATCTGATGACTGTTGCAATGGTATGTACCTTACCACGTTTATATTATGGTTACTACTGTAAGCAGCTTTCACTGTCTGGATGTGGCTGCAGACTGACCACGCCCTTTTCACCACTAAATATTGTCACCTTGAAGGTGCACTTCTTTCCTTCATGAAGGATTTTGTACCTCAAACTCTCAGCTGGATATGGGTAATGAAAAATAAGGTGTTGAATATTAAAGCCAATCTTATACATATTACCACACAATGTAACCTCCCTACGATAAAACTGCTTCTACTGACTTCTATTTGTAGACATAGTAATCAGATTATGATAGTATCTTCCTTGTTTTCGGAAATATTTTCCTACAGTGGTTAAACAGAAAAAAGAAAATCTTCATCTGCTCAATACAAATACGAGTCATGAGGGTGATTATAATGCTGACATTGTACAGAAAGATTATGAAAAACCCTATGTTTTGAGTCACAAATCAAATATAAAAAAATCATAATCTGCTTATAACAACCAAGACAAGTCTGTCAGTCTGGACAACAAACACCCTTGAGATCACGAGCAAAATCATTAACAACCAATATTTTTGATTTCTCAAACTCGTCATTCTGTCACTCTTCACTGTAAGTGTTGGCCTACACTTCCAATAAACGTTAAATAAAAAAACTCCTTGTATTTCTAAAAATTAAGTAAATTGATGTGCTTTATAAACTTCCCTTGTTTGAAACGCTTGATTTGTAGATTTGAAAATTTATAACAAGGCCCCAATTTCTACACCACTCTTGGACATGTCGACTGCATTTTATAAAAGCATGAATGTTTTTTAGTCCCCGTTTAGAGGAAGTCTGAAAACGGGGACTATTAATTTGGGTTCGTTTCGTCAGTACGTATGTCCGGAGCTGTATCTCGGACACCCATTGACGGATTTCATTCAAACTTTACATGAAGACTATAAATAATGTCTTGCATATGCGCGTCAAGTTACTTTATGATCGGAGAAAAATGGCCAACTGGCGACCATTTTGGATGTTAAATTTGCTATTTCTGATACCTAAACGTGTTCAGTTTTTCAGAGATGACTGGGCCAATCTTGATCAAAGTTGGTATGATGATCATACATATTGGGTTGTAGGTGCCATTTTGTTTTTCATGGTACCCATGCTACTTTCTTATGAATGCAATGAGCGTTTTCTTTAAATTTTGTACAAAGACAGTATACCAATAGATACATCAACATAAACATTATTTTTGTAATTTGATTCAATATGACTGCCCAATGTCCAATTCGTGTGTAAAAGCACTAAATCATAATTTTTTACAAATCCATCTCCTATAATGGTTTCAATCTAATCTCAATGACTTCATCAGCATCAAATTGATATGTCAGATCACAAAATTTTGGACGGGGACTGTGTTGTTGTTAGGACTTGTTGAAATTTTGGTTGAATTACGTTAACTTAACATGTTGTGATTGGTCAAGGTGTTTTCACAAATCTTTAAAACAGAAATTGTATGTAAAAACATTTGTGCCTTCATGAAATGCAATATAACATTTACACATTTTCTGCATTGTCATCTAAAAGAACTACTGGTATGTCATTGACATATAATCAAGGTCCAAATCTCTTGGTTTTGCTAAAGCCATCCATCCCTCCCATGCTTGAAGTGGAATAAATGGAACTTGGCTTGCAAATATGGTATATAATTAGAGAAATGCATTTTCATTGCCAACCTGTAAGCAGAGGTGGAGGTGTTTCAAACCCAACAGCAATATGATGGTAAGTGATTGCTTGCAACTGTTTTGCACCTGAAACCAATTGTTTCTTTGTGCTCTGGTGATATATGATAACCCCCGCCGTGAGCGTGTACATCTGTCATGCTGAAAGGGTGACTGCCCTCCACAATAAAGGGTGGACATGCTTACCATTGCACCACACACTAGGTTGATTGCGTATGTGTTATCGTAAATAACAGATGAGTTCATGGTCAAATGAGAATCTGGCATACAGTTAATGACATTTTTAATACGGTAAGGAGAAAGTAGCCATACCAATTAACTAAAGTATCAATCTTACTGGTAATGACCCAATTGTTTTCTGTTACAACTAATGTCCCCGGTAATATGCAAATGAGCTACTGAAGAGGGCTTTAATTTGCAGAAAACAACCAATTGAATTGAATTGACACATAACATAACTATTGTTAATATGATATTATAGTTACAGATTTGTCATAAATTACAGCCAAGCAAACCTTGAGGACTTTATTTTGAATATCTCTATGGGAAAAACCAGGCAAAATACTATTTTTCTTTCTTTCACTTTTGTGCTAATTTTTTTTCAATGATGAATTTGCTGTAATTCCCTCAGGGTGTAATTTTCTAAGAAATATGCACACAGAATTTGTTCCTGTTATTGATCCCTGCAGATTTGTTTTTGCCATCGCACCCGAGTTTCTAATGGTCCACCTCTAAACAAATAGAACATCTGGGAGGAGAGATGATTGGAAAATTGTATAATTTGTTTTCATCACTTAGTTGTAAAATGTTTATTTGTTGCTTTTCTTAATAAAATGTTTATTTATTAAATGTGAAATACAGGTCTATTATATTGAGAAAGTGGCGAAGCTTTAAAGGTCAGTCACCCATCCATACTTATGAATATGGCATATGAGGGCGCAATTCAGCTCACCTGACTTCGGCGGACCTTTAGCCTTTATTCAATAAAAGAGTGTCGTTGCGGTCGTTGAACCATGCAGATTTGTCATTCGTCTTGCAACAATGAAATCGTGGTTATATTTATGACTAATGCTCTGTAGCTTGAGAACCATATACATGGCATTACTTGAGTAAATCATGGCCACCGACAATTTACTGACTGGTATTTTCGACATTGAGAAAAATCACTTTGACGTGAGTCTCACAAGAACAGAAATCAAATGGATACCCATCGAAGAAAAACACCGTAAGTGACAATTTAATAATGCCATAGTAACACCTGGCAACTGTTATTGTTTAGAAACATGCAGTTAGGATAACTTGTTCGAGCCTGCTTTCGTTTTCGGCACCTTTGGCGCTGTATTGTGGGTGAGATATTTCGGTCAAGTCGACGACCAAATCAAATGTAAATATGGCTGACGCCGACTATTTAGAGCCACGCAGCGGCTCGTGTGGTACATGCCGTATGTATTGTGACATTTCTGTCAAGCGTCTTGTTATCTTACGCCATGAAAATCGATTATTTAAAATTTGTTACGTAGTAATTTGACAAGGCAGGGAATTTATGAACGAAGTGTATCTAATATTAAGCTATGATCTAATAGATTGAGAGATTGTGATTAGACTAGAGCACGGTTACTAAAAAACGAAACCGTGACTAGAGTTACTACTACTAGTAACTCTGATGAGAATCGTTATATCTTGGTCTGTATTCTACGCAATTTTATAAGATCACGAGGGACAAATAAATAGAATCAAAAAAAAAAAAAATCATTTTAGATATTTAAAGACTGCAAGTCACAGTAACTTTTGCTACATTTTGTCATTCCGAAATCGAGTGATTGTATAGTGAGTACATTGACCTACTACTTATTATTATTATTATTTTTTTAATCATTACTTTAGTCTTAATGTTTTGTATTATTAGTCTAGTTTTGTTTAGTGTAAATTTAACACAGTCACTTGGGGGGTGAAAATCAATAAATACTAATTTTCAAAAAAAATCATCCGCTATACGTATATAAATAAACAAGTTGTGAAACACGGCACCTAGTAAATCGACACCCTGTCGTTTTCAAATGTCGATTTCTTACCTTAAAATGCGAAACAAAAAGTGCAGAGGGGGTCAGGTGTTATGTTAATAACCATTGTTCATAATCGCTAACTTGGTTTTATTCAAAACTGCACAAATCGCGAGTTTTCTGGTGATATCCGACAATTTCATGATC